TATTCCAGTGAGATGGATACATTATCAGCTGTGAAGAAGCACATGAAGAAAGTGCAAGTGTTAGGATCTACTTCTATTTGATATAATATATGGGCCAAAAAGTATGATTGTTTGTTGGTAGGATTATTAATTTTGAGTGCCATGAAGATGATATCAGCTACAAAATATTTTTGCTATGTTCATAGTGGTATTTTGTGAGGCTAAATATTCTATCCTGAAGCATCACAGCAACAGATGGGATGGTGCAGTGGTGCTAAGAGCTTACTGGAAGAATTGGGATACTCCATGTGGTGTCAAATGGCAGAGATCATGTCTCCTCCTATTGCTTGCATGTGAATCATGCATTGGACTGCAAAGTTGCTTTAAGACTACATGAGATTAAACAAATCTGACGTGGTCCACATATTCAATATGATTATCTTGAAATATTATAATGTTTGGTTGCTTGAAATATTATACATGTGGATTTTAATATTTTAAAAGAAAATGACATCCATGCTAATGTTTTTTTATGTAATATATAAAGACAACAGATAATAAGCACAAGATGTTAAACATGTGTCATGACTCTAAGGTGTCATATACACTAAGATCGATGTTACAAGAAAATTTACGATCTAATCCTTTTGATGCTTAAATTAATCATCAATAATCTAACGAGTATAAGTTTTTTTCAAGAAGAGGACCGTCCAATGTAGCACCGAGATTACTTTTTATATTGGGTCTCGGGAGAAACGATATGTAATTATCCTAAGGTCTTCCTCTTGACGTTTAGTCCACATGGGTGACAGAGTAGAGACAGTCTCAAACAGTACGTTGGACTTTTATCAACGTAGAGATGATGGTTTGGGTCTTTTCCTTTCACAATAATTTCTACATAGATACTTATTTGTCGGATGATAATTGATCATTAATATATTCTCTTTCAGTTCATGATATTTTAATTAAAATTTTATAACATTTTTTATCATTAATATTATATTTTTATTATTTACATCACTTTATATAAAAATATGTCTAATATTCATAAAAATATATATATTTAAATTAACTAACATATATAGATTCAAAAGAACATTAGTTCTCTAAAAAAAAAGCATAATACCCTTAAAACTAAAAAAGGAATTTTTAATTTTCCAAATTTTAAATTAAACACATATATTCTCCGTCGAGCACCTGATTTGTTAACGATGAAATACATATATTATTTTCCCTTCCGTACTATAAGCATTATTTGGCTGCAAAGTTATATGTGGACAATGGGGGGTGGGCCCGTTTGCCCCATTTGGCTGATTCATCACGGGAGTTTCTAGCGCAAGTAACTCTATCCTTTGATACTGAGTCTTCTAAATTTTGGAGCTTTTCAACTTCATTTAATTTTCTTTTCAATGAATGTTCTCATAATAAATTGGATGCAAGTCATTTTTTTTTATTAGAAACACCCACCGTCATATATAATATTTGTTTTTTTTTTCCTTCAATCAAATATAATTTGAGATCCGAGAAGACCGTAGCACTAGCTAATAAGGTTTTTGGAACATGAAAGAAATAGTTATTATGAATAATTTATCTAATGATCAATTGAATCATACTCAGACGTGTCTTGTTAATCATTATTGTGTTAGAATTGATAAGTACTTTAAGATTTTTATAGTCAATCGACGATGAATCCTAATATAATAAGAGTTCTCGTAAAAGAAGAATTTTTTTTAAATTAGGATTTAGTTATTTTATAAATATCTCAAGTATTTTTAGGTCATAGAGTATAGAGACCAAGATAGAGAAATATTTCGGTGCTTCTTGATGTAGAAGATATTTGATTCTTCTATATCATTAAAAAATATTAATTTTAAAAATTCAAAAATACTTATCGCCCAATACTACTTAACTCTCGTGGAGAGAGAAAGAAAAAGAAAAGGAGGAGGAAGAAAAGAACGAGGAGTCTAAATTGATTTTTAGATAAATGTATATCGTAAGCCTTTGATTAGAGGAATTAAAAGTGGTAATGTTTTTTTTTTATGTTAGTTGAAGCACTATTGAAGTAGTGTCCAATGATTTTTATGATGTCGAAGTAATGGCCATTATGTTTCTAACTTTGTTAAGACATTAAGTACAGAGTGTTTAGTATTACTTCCATCATAATTTTAGTTATAATTCATTTAATGAGATTTGTCAAAAATTTATTTTCTTTCACATTAAATTGCTTAAGTATTTATGTTGGTAGCATTCATTCCCCTTCAAATCACTTTAGTAGTAGTCTTCACCCGATAACCTTTTGTGTTATAACCAAGATCGATTTGAATTTAATATAAATCTCACAAACAATTTTGGATCCTAAGTCTATTATAATAATCTAACGATGAAATCAAACGAAAGTATAAAAGAAATAAACTCGAAGATCATTATTTTTTTTTTGGAGAATCAAAATTACAAATGATAGGTTTTGTTTAGATGTTGCAAGTTTGTCAAATTTTTTACCATTTGAGATCAATTACTTAATCTTAAATTATTTTTTATATAAATATATTTTTTACATATCTTAAATTATCTTAAATTCTTTCTTACATATTTTAATATAAATTTTTAATAATTTATAGACTTTTCTCTTACTCATTAGAAATCTTAGAAAGTATCATTTCTAAATACTTTAGAGAGGAACCCAAAAATACTATAAGTATTTCTTACATTGTATTCTTTCTCTTTCAAAACGTAGAGATACATGAGATATTTATAAAAAACCTAAATCCTAATTATTATGGATTTTTTCTTTTATTAGAATTTCTTATCCTATTGGAATATTGATTCCAGGAATCCCAAAATATTTGTCAAACTCAATAATCTTTTTCTTAGTAAGTAATTTATTCACTTATGTCTCTCGAACAAAAAAATACTTTTATTTTATATTTTTTTCAAACTTTGTTGCTCATCTTTATCAAATCTTTTGGCTCCAATACCACTTATTAGGGAGAGAAAAAATAATTCCAAAACTAAAAAGATAAATAATCAGAGAAAAACTGCTCAAAAGTCGACATAAAATTTAATTTAACGTATTTCAATAAATCCCGCCTACATCCATCGAGAAAAATCAAACTTTTTATAATATGAGATCAATTATAAAACCTTAAGTTATCTCTACTCAAGCATGATTTCCTTGCACACCCATTCACATAAATTTCAAAAAATTTATATCATTTTCTCTTATCCTCTCTAGAAAGTCTAGAAAATACCCCCTTTAGACACCCTGGAGAGAAACCTAGGAGCATAAAAAATATTATTCATATTTTTTTTCCTCTTATTAAAATCTAGAGATACATGAAATATTTATAGAAGAACCAAATCATAATTATTATGATTTTTTTTCTTATCCCACTAAGGCACTAACTCTAGAAATCCTAAAATATATGTTAATCCCAATAGTTCCGAGAGCTACCTTTTAAGCAATTTGGTCATGTTGGTCATGTTGGTGTCAAGAGCCATCTCTTTAAATAATTTAATCATGTTAATGTCGAAAGCCACCATGATTCGATCATATTGTTACTACTTAATTATGCCAAACTACATCTTAATCCCACTAAATAGTGGTGTCATTTTACTACAGGCCTTTATGTTGCTATTCAACCCAATTGTTATTCTTGTGCTAAGGTAGTTTGTAATATTTTTCTGGGCTCTCCTTCTAGCATCATTCTATTAAATTAAAATTTAATTATATGATATTGAGGATTTGAATCCAACCTTGATTTGATATTAGTTTATCACAAATTTAATATTGAGAGATGAGTAGATTCAATAAGAGATCCTACAAAAAAAAAAATATCAACGACATACTCAACCAGGCCTATTCGATGCTTATGTCGATAAGAAGTCCATATGATTTGGTCAAAGTGTCAAACAAACCTAAGGGCATTTTTTAGAGTATTGAAAAAATTCATGTCACGAGAACAAATTTGAGATGTCTTTTTATAATGAAATCCAAGACTATATATTCAAGATCATGTTTAAATACTCAGAACAGTTATATATTTTCTCCAACCATAAATGCAATCATATAATACCAAAATAAAAAGAAAAAAGTAAGAGAATGATTAACCGACTGACGTAATTGACTTTGTAGGATTGAATTGATTGTCACATCATTCAAATGATGATAATGTGTCAATCATATGGATTGAATTATCGATCACATAACGATGAAATGTCAACTACGACTACATAACGGTGAGATTCATATAGTGATCAGGTATCAATAGTCCTCTCATATCATTATCTTTGTATTACTTGGCGGTAAATCATCCCTATATCACTTAGCCATAAGGGGAAAGAAACAAAAACTTTGAAAGATGAGGAAGAGGGAGCTCCCTTCAGTCCAAGCATGGAATGGAAGAGAAAGAATAGTCTCCCGCATCATTCACTCATTCACATAGTAGCCATAATCCGAAAGCTTTCATCTGCTGCACGAACTGTAGAGAACCGAGCACACTTCATATCTACTGTGTGTTCGAATGAATGAGTCGGCAGCT